AGCAAATGACTAGCTGTGCTGCAATAAAGGATTATCACGAACGTACAGGAGCCAGGTCCAGTGTTACTGTTCAGTACCCCAGACATAAAGTTTCTCTCCTTATTTAACCTAACTCTATTTTCAGGACACAAGCAGAAGAATAAGCCATCATCCTCCTGTCTACAACAACCCTTTGTATATTAACAGTGACTTTTTTGTTTCACGTGGGGTAAGTATACTAGTTATCAATGTACCTCTATCTGTTCATAAATTCTCGGAGAGCTAAAAGGCAAATTAAAAAAGCTAAAAGGCAAATTAAAAAAATCAGCTTTTTACCCATTGCTAGAGCTTTTATTTTCAGCAGAAGCCAGATTTTCTCCTATTGTGAACTTCTAAAAGAGAATCATGTTTTTTTCTTTATTTTATCCAGAGAAAAGAGAAAAATTCTTTGGGTTTACAAAAATGGAAGAGTTTGGTCATCTGTCCCAAAGCACACTATATATTTTCTTGGTTGCACTTGTCACACCTGTACCGTTATGTCATTTTTAAAGAATTATCTGTCATCCTCATCCAAATGTAAGCTTCACAAGGGAAGATACCAAGTCTGCCTCATACATCAACATTTTCCCAATGACTAGTACAGTATTTGGCATACAGCAGCCTCTTCATTTAACCTGAAGAACTGACAAATGCCCTTCAAAATCATTCTTGTTCAGCACTCCAATTTTGGAGACATGAAAATAGAAACTGTAAGAGTTGTTCTTGGAAATGACTTCCCAAAATTGCATAACAAGTTAACGACAAAGCCAGGATTAGAATTTTGGATTCTTTATTCCACATCCACATTCTCCATCCATAACACCACAGAGGTTCTTATACCTAATACCCTGGATGGGCAACACTACTGATGAGTAAGATACAGAAAACTTTGTGATCTACACATCTTTGGTTTGCTGCCTATCTCCCAAAGTTCTTTATCAGTTGAAACACAAAAACCTTCTCATAAATATGCCTGGTTTATGCATACTTTATGTAGGACTCCAAGAACAGAACCCAAAACTAAATTCTACTGCCATAGCAAAGAGCCAACTTATTCTCTCCAATTAGAGTTGATGCACAGAGGCCAAGCCACAGATGCCAGCTGAATTTCTATGGGTCACCTACTGCTAAATCAAAGATTCTGCTAAACACAGCTTCAATTTGTATGGAAATTTTAAAATTATTTTAAAAATTATTATTTTGGGCTGGGCACAGTGGCTCACGCCTGTAATCCCAGCACTTTGGGAGGCCGAGGCGGGCAGATCACAAGGTCAAGAGATAGAGACCATCCTGGCCAACATGGTGAAACCCCATCTCTACTGAAATACAAAAATTAGCTGGGCATGGTGGCACATGCTTTTAGTCCCAGCTACTCAGGAGGCTGGGGCAGAAGAATTGCTTGAGCCAAGGAGGCAGAGGATGCAGTGAGTCGAGATTGTGCCACTGCACTCCAGCCTGCCACCTGGCAACAGAGCAAAACTCTGTCTCAAAAAAAAAAAAAGAAATTATTATTTTGGGTGTCTTTAAATCAAATACTTTTAAAAATAGAGGTTTTCTCACTGCATGAAAGAAATAAATGTGAGTTTCTCCGGGGCAGACAAGATGATCTAAAACTGGATTGTGGTGATGACTGTACAACTCTATAATTTGTCCTAAAAATCTTAAAATTGGTAAATATTATAAATTTTACTGCAATAAAGCTGTTAAAAAATAAGTCTGAAAAGCAGTCACATAGTAAAATACTTCATTTTGTAAATATCTGGTATTAAAACTGTAAAGACATTCTTTAATATCCCCATGGTCTTTTAAGCCCAGCTCCTATACACTTCAATCATGGTTTGCCTAAAAGGTCAAAAGTTTTCCCTGCAATTTTTGTAAGAATAATTTAGGAGACTTACATAAATATCAAAAAAGAACCAATTTTATTTATATACCACTAAGAAATACTGACTGGTATGATTATCTGCATAAATAATCTCCAGATATATTTGTTTAATTAAGCATAGTGTTCCAGTCCAAACCTGCCATTAATTAGCCATTGGGTTTTTAGCAAATTGCAAAACATCTCCAAGTCTCAGTTTTCCCACCTATTTCATGTGTCTCTGTAAACCACGGTAAAGCTAAGTAGCATATAATATACTACAAAGAATAGTAATTGCTATTGTCTAATGGATAGCCACTAACATGCCAGACTATTTAGGTAAATTATTACCCTAAAGTAGGTATTATTAGTCTTTTGTGTGTATGTGTGGGATGGGGGCAGATGAGGAAATTAGAACATAGAGAAGTTCATTAGTTTTACCAATGTCACACAGTTAATGAGTAGCAGATCCAGGATTCCAGTACAGAATTACCCAAGTCTAAATCCTATACTTATTCTCTATTCCTTGGTAGACTTTGGGCTTTTGGTTCTATCAGATGTGGGCATGAATCCTGAACTTGTCTTTACTATGTTAAGTTAATCATCTTCTCTGAGTCTCAGTTTCCTCATCTGTAAAATGAGATTACTAATACTTAACTCAGGGTCATTGTGAAAATTAAATTAGAGAGTACATCTCCTGCCACTAAAAAACATTTTTAAAAACAGCCTTTTTCATCCTTTTCCCACAGAGGTTCCTTCTTGTGTATACACACATACACACACACACACACACACACACATAAATTCTATGATTACCTCAGAGCCTACTTGAATAAACTTCACTGGGACTGAGTTCTATCAAAAGCAATTAGAGTGAACACAAACAACATCCCATTACTTCTTTGCTATCAGCCCTTGGCTCTGTGACTGAAACTGTCAACAACAGTGTCAACTTCAAGGGGTGGGCATCTGTCCACAGGAACTGAACTGAGGTCACAGACTTGTCTCACTCTGCCCTACAAACAGATGTCTAGGTGACAACTCTTAGTCACTGCAAACCAGGGTTAGAGCCAAACCAGGTGGGAAGTACTGATTTTCTTTTCTAATCCTCTTGGTCAGCCCATTCATTCCCTAAGACAATTCCTCACTGACCATAATTCAAAATAACTAGTTTTCCCAGGATACTATTTTCAACAAAATGTCTTCATTTTGATGATATCTGATTATTCCTCAAGAAAAAGGGAGTGTTTCCTTAATAGCAGTTTGTCAGCAGAAACCTGCTTGATTCTGCATATTAGAATGCACACCTTCAAATGTTTACCTCGAAAGTTGCCAGGTAAAAACTGATGTAATGTGGAGCTCTAGTGGTGGCAAGAGGTAAAGCAGCTGTTAGTGTGAGCCAACAAAAAAGCCTAGGAAATCTCCACTTGTTATTACGTTAACATGCTAAGATGAAAAACAGTCCAAAATAATCTAAGATAATATACAGTAAATCTTAAATGTAATAGATTTCTTCTAGATTACAAGTTAGACTTTAGTAGACAGGCTACATTAGACATCATGAAATAATTACATCTTCTCAAAAAACAGAACTCAATGCTGTGGTTGTCACTTTTTTATTTTTTACTAAGTTCATTAAGAATTCTATTAATTAAACACTAGCTATTTTTTCACACAGCTAGTAAGAATACTGTATTAAAAAAACTGCTGGACTCTAAGTGGTATGATCAGTGAAGTCCTGTACCAACTGTCCTGAGAATTTAAATAATCCCTACAGGCTGATGAGGTGGTTGCAAGTTAATTCCCACACTAGAAAAGTGCCTTCCTTGAATATCTGACTTCTGAGATATTTTCCAACTTAAAACAACTAAGAATGAGACCTACACTGTCAAAGGTTAACTCTTCATTTTTCTGGTACCTAACCTATATGTCTTCTCCATCAAAAGAGCTTCATTTAAAAAATAGAGCTCTATTATTTTCAAAAATTTAACAGAACATAAATAGTAAAACGTGTATAATGTACAACCTGGAGTTAACATTTAAAATTTCTAAATGTGGTGCCTTGGTTAGCTATGCCAAAACAAGTTATCATGAGGGGTAAAATGTTTCACAATATGAAAAAAAAATACAAGAATTCACCTTTTCATATATAAGCACCTAAGTATTATGTTACTTAATATCAAAGAAATTTTAAGAGACTCACTTTCCATGAATTACAATAAAAGAAACTATCATATTCATAAATGTATTAACAATGTTTATCTGAAATAAACATCTCAACTTATGGAGGCTTTTCATGATTTATATGAGTTGAATGCACTAGACATTCCCAATGGCCATATTCCAGGGGCTTCTAAATTGTTAGGTCAAAGATGACTACCAAGCCCTCAAAGGTCCATGAAGACAGATTTAATGATTACCCAGGGGTTCTTATTTATGATGTCCTTCTCTATCCTTCTACTAACATGCTGCCTTTAATATGGCTCCCTGAAGCTACACAAAAAAAAAAAAAAGGTAAAAATATAAGCGCCTCTTCTTCAGAAGTCACTGAGAATGCAAGAGTTTGTAATGGGAAGCTCAAGATAAGGAACTTATTATTTTCTTTCAGTCATCATCTCTAGCTATAGCATAGGAGATGGAACCTTTTTAATAGGATAGAAACAGCAGGGAAGGAAGTGAAGATGGTTTACTAACATAATCATATGCCAAAGGGAATAAACCAAAACAAAAAACCCTGCACTAATGCAATATGAGCCACCCAGGAATTCAGAACCTAACAGTTCTACAGTCCTTTTCACCAAAGACATCAAAACAATTTAATTGAAGAATATTTCCAAATCTGTGAATCTAAGAGGTTTGGCTTTGTACATCACCTTGCCTATATTTTCTTTGGTGATTACCTCTCTCTTTGCTTTACCATAACAGCCCTTGGTATGCTGCTTAAAATAATATTTGGGAACTTATTTGCCATCCTTTTGACGGAAACATGTTGATTTTATTAAAGTAAGTTGAGTCTGCATTCTTTCTTTACTATTATTACAGGTAGACTTGACAGACACAGGACCTTTGTTTCAAAATGCTCTGCTCTAGAGGAAACCTTGTTAAATAAGTTCCATTTTACCTGCTGGGCAGTTACATTCTGAAGGTGCTTCTCTTGCGATTCTTATTTTAGCCATATGTTCATAGGATTTCTGTGGGAAAAGAAGAGTTATTAACAATCATCAGTAGCACTGTAGAGAGATGGAATCTTTAGGGACTCTGGCCATATGCCTGATTTACTGGCATTTCATAACCTGCATAACTAACATTTACATATGTACTTGGACTCTAGTCAAAAAGTAATCATGCCTAAGCCCCAAAAAAATAAAATGACCACTGATAGGGTATCAAGATTGCTGGACTTGTATAACATCTTTCTCCATTCTTCCCTACCCCCCCTCCGTCAGCTCAAGCATACGCAATCAATGTAAAAACCTAGCACTAAAATGTTGCAGTACTAGGTAAGCTGTGGCTTACCAATAACAGCCACTATTTTACACATGAAGATCAACTGCTTTATCATGCTAGGCTGCAACTACTGCCAAATAGGCTCCCCGCTAGAGTACAGTTCCAGAAACCCCCCTTACTCTAGTCTAAAGGTGCCCTTAAACATGACGTAGATTCCTTTCAACTCTCAACGCCAAGGGCTCTGCATTCATAAATACACCGGCACAGCATCCTTCACCAAAAATAAAGCTACTCTAAAAAAAATGCTTAAACTTTTAATACGAAAAGATTCTATGTGTGAAATTATTGATTTTAAATTATATATGGGACTATTTCACTTTTAAGAGTGGTTACCTTTTTTTGTATATTAATAACATCTATGACCCTAACCATCTTACAACACGTAAAAGATATAACAGATGCTACCTCTGCAAGAAATATTCTCTCCACAATTGGGAAAGACTCACGCGTGACTTCAGGAAACTAAAAAGAGATGAAATGCCCTTCTCACCTTTTAGATCTTCCTACATGTATAACATGGAAACATTAAGAGAGAATGAGGGAATATTACAGAGACAGGCATGGAGATGTGCATATACAAATATATGCTATATCAAGGGATGTGCATATACAAACATATGCTACAGTGAGCACAGATCCTTGCCCCATACATGCACACACACACACACACAGTCACACCAAGTGTGCGTACAGTAAAGGGTAGTGGCCAGTCATGCACACAGAGTCACGCTTGTGTAAGATGTTGCCCACGTGCAAAATACCCCAGCCTCTCACACCTGAGCCAGAAGTCGCTCCACTTTCTCTTGCACCATAGCCTTGAGCTGATCCAGGGTATCAGGCAGCAGATGAATGGAAGGGGCCCCTTTGGCGGATTCGAGAACGGCGATCCTCGCCTGGAGGTCGTTGGTTTTCACACCAAGGTACAGACAAGACACCACGGCCACCACTGACAGGAGGGCCGCCAGGACGGCGCACGGGGGCATGGTCCGGGCACATCGCAGCCCTGCAGGGCTCGGGTCCTCGGATCCCGGATCCCGGCCCCCTCCTTTCCCTGCGTGCTTCTTCACCAGCATCGTGGCGGGGTCGGCCGTCTCGGCTTCGCCTCCCACCCTCTACACCTCAAATAATTCTAAACGGAAAGCTAAAGGTCGAGTCCTCCAAAGTTCAGTCCCTGTGGCTGCAGAACTAGTTAGTGGAGTCGAGCCCGCGAGCGGAGATGGACCCCTGCCTTGCTCAGCGTCCAGACCCGCAGGCTTGCACCATCCCCGCTTTCTTCTCTCCTCCCAGCTGGAGGTGAAAAGCGCCCTCAGTCCAGGGACTGGGTGGCGGTAGGGTAAACAGCAAGACGAAACCCACCCAGGCGGCTCTTCTGACTCCCAGAGGAGCGACACCTCTTCCGCCGTCCCCGAGAGCGGCCGCTCAGGGTCCGAGGGACAGCGGCCGAGGCGCGGCGCGGGGCCGCGGCTCGCCCTAGCCACGGAGGACCGGACCTGTTGCGCCTCTGCGAGTTTGCCTTATTTCTACCTACTCGGCGTCTTTCGGCACGCCGACCTGTTTCCCACCTGCATCCAATGCAAGGCAAAAAGGTTTGTGAGAGCACGCTACAGCGCAGCGCGAAAGGGGCGGCTAAGCGGGAGAAGACAGAGGAAAAACGAAATAAACCCAAGGAGCAAATGCTAGTCGCGAGGCCGAAGTCGCGGCTGCCCGAAGGATCTCCGCAGCCCCGCGTGCGCGATCCTTAAATACCCTCCGGGATGCTCGTGTGAGTGTGTGAGTGCGCGCGCGCTCCGAGCACGACGTCCCTCCCCCGACCCCTCCCGGCGCCCGGCGTCCGGCCCGCCGCTCGCACTGCTGCGCGCCCCTCTTCCCCCGCCAAAGCCCGAGCCCGCCTCATTATCATAATGAATTCACCTTGGCCCAGCCCGCAGGCCTGCCCAGGGGACCCCCGAGGGGGCGGGAAGCTTGGGTGGGAGCGGAGCAGGAGGTCTGTGATTAGCATAATACATGCAAATCGCGGGAGCGGCCACCGTGATTGGAGAGTAGCCTGGCGACCCCTCCCCCTGCGTTGCGCGGAGTAACTTCAGCGTCCCCGAAGGCCACCTCTCGGGCCTGGGCCAGGGGCCGGAGCGGGGTCTGCTGCTCAGGAGGCGGCAACTTTGGCTGATACTGACTCAGCCCAGCGCCCCCTCTTTATCCCACTTAAAAACGGAGAAATGGCCTCCGAGAGGAAGAAGTGCAGCAGAACGCTCTATCTCTCCTGATCTTCACTCAAAAGCAGCCGCAGGAGCTCTCGCTATCTCGCTCTGGTGCAGCGTTTTTCCCTCCTCCCTCCCTTTCCCACATGCCCAGAGGCAAAGTGTCTGGCCAACGTCTGAGGTACATTTCCCCACTTCCCCTCTCTTCCCACGGCCGCGCCGCAGATTCTCCAACGAGATGAAGTTTTCTCTCCCCTCCCCCAGTTTCCTTGTCTTGACGGGACTGAGTCTCCTCCCAGCTCTGTATTCCTAGTCTATACTAGGGTGCTAATGTGTTTTCCTGATTCCCTGTTTTGCGGGATTGGAAAAGGGAGTGTTGAAGTATACACATTTCTCAGGATTTAGGAAAGGAATGAAGAATGAAGTCAGTTTTTCCTCTTACCTGACTCTCTTCGTGCTGTTCCCTCTGGATCAAATTACAAGATCTCTAATGGGATTTTGGAAAGTTGGTAACAAGTAGCATTTGACATCTAATTGACTTTGGGGAAAACAGAAATCCCACCTCTTATTCCAAAGAGTTCCTTCGTATCTCCCCATAAAAAATACCGTATATTTTTCCTAGTCTTCTTATTCAAGCTAATCTGAAGTCATTGCTTACTATTGTAAACAATCAACAAAATACTTCACTAACTTGGTCTTTCACATGTGGGAACAGATATCGCTAGGTATGAAGCAAGGTAAAGAAATAACAACATTAGAGGAGGAAACAGACTAACGTTGGAGGAAAATGCAATGAATTTTGCTGTGAAGTCAAAACCATAATTCATTTGTATCACATATCACACAGCGGTTCTCAAAGGATGGTCCCAGACCAATAGCATCAGCATCACCTGAGAACCTATACAACATTTCAATTCTAGGTTCCTTCCACAGATCTGAATCAGAAACTGCTACTACCACTACTGAAATAAAAAACACAGCAACCTGTGTTTTAACAAGCCTTCCAAATGATTCTGATATATACTAAAGTTTGGGAACCACTGGTATAACACTTTCCAAAATATTTTCCAATACAGTTTTTATTTGAACCTCATAACCCTACAATGTAAGTGAGGAATTACTGTTCCTTTTTTAAATATAAATCAAATTTTTAAATAAATTTTAAAATAAAGAGATAAATTTCAAGTCACATTTAAATGTGATTAAACATGTTTCCAATAACAGGACCCAAATAATGGGTACAAATGTTTTAACGCACCAACTCTTTCCGTGACCTCTAACTATTTGTTACTTTCCTTTGCAGGCTTTTCCTCTGTCATTTCTCTGAATGTTGGTGCTCCTTGGGTCTCTGTCTTACTCCATCTTCTCTTCTCTGTCTACTCTCTCCAGTAGAGTTCCCAATGGCCGTGATTACACTGATGAGTCATAAATTCCTATCAAATGCCCAGACCTCTCTCCTGAACCTCAGATCCATATAGCCAGTTGCCTCTTTGCCATCTCCATTTGGATGTCCCAGTCTCATTTCCAACTGAACCTGCAGCTTACCTCCAAACTCTACTCTGCTTCCTCTGTTTCCCATCTCAGCCAGTGGAGTTGCCATCCATCCAGTCTCCTCAAGCCAAAATACCCAGTAGTCAGCCCTGACTTCTCCCTTACCCTCATCTCCTCAACCATTTAGAGTCCTTCAATACTTCCGGTTGTCCTTAGGACAAAGATCTTATGTCTTTCAACCCCCACAACACACACTCTTGTCTACCATCTCACCAGCCTCATTGCTCATTCTTCCTCTCAAACTCTCTGCATCAGCTTCTCTAAAGTACAGAGACAATGAGAATAAAGAGCTTTTTCTTTTGGACAACATACCACTCTTAAAATTTCAGTAGAAAAGCCATTTTTTCTGTCTTGACTGATGGCTACAGTAGATTACACATTTAATTTGGATGATGCAATGTTCCTACAGCATGCTTTGTGTTAATTGGCCATGAGAAGATACATTAACAACTCTTGCAAGCCCTTAGCACTATTAGATCTTAGTAAACAGACAGAGTTGGAATTTTGTGGCTTTAAGATCTTTATCCAGAGGATTAGATTTGCTTTATGTCTTTAGTGGGCACAATGCCTCAGAAATGTACCAGCCATTAGCGCTGAGATTTCAAAACCCAGTAGATTCTCTGCATCAAGCACAGAGAACATGTGGATCAACAGAGCTCTGAGGGTTTGAACGCATGTTGTTCTGTAGATTCATCAAAGCACAGTTGTTATTTTGGTTCCCATGTGGAGGCTTCAAAACAGGTAAAAATAGTACTAAAAAAAATGCTGATGAGAGAGATCCAAGATGGCTGATCACTAGCAGCTCGGGATTGCAGCTCCCACTGAAAGAGCAGAGAACGAGAGGACGACACACTTTCAGATCAATTTTTGTTGCTCACACACCAGGAGATTCCCAGCGGAGGAGCCCCACCTGTCGCCAGCGTGACTCTTGAGGCCGGTGAGGCGGTTTTGCCGCTGCCTTGGTGTGGCGGTTCTTGGTGCAGAGTCAGAAAAGCATCATCAATCTTAAAGCCGCTGTTTTGGCCGGAGCAGTGGGTTGCTCAGATTCTAGCGCCGGGAATCAACAAGTTGGACGTCCATTCAGAAACCCAACTATAAAGACGGTAATTATAAAGACCACAGATGGATAAATCTATAACGAAGGGAAGAAAACAGCCTAAAAAGGCTGAGAATACCCAAACTCAGAACGCCTCTCCCTCTACAGGGGATCACAGTTCCTCATCAGAAACAGAACAAGGCCTGATGGAGAAAGACTGTGTTCCATTAGCAGAAGCTGGCTTTAAAAAGTGGATGATAAGAAACTTCTGGGAATTAAAAGAACTTGTTCTAACCCAATGCAAAGAAACTAAGAACTTTGAAAAAAGGTTTGACGAAATGTTAACAAGAATACACAATTTAGAGAGGAATATAAGTGAATTAATGGAGCTGAAAAATACAACACGAGAATTTTGCGAACTACGCACTAGTTTTAACAGCCGAATTGATCAAGTAGAAGAAAAGATATCAGAGGTCGAAGACCAACTTCATGAAATAAAACAAAAAGACAAGATTAGAGAAAAAAGGATAAAAAAGAACGAGCAAAGTCTCCAAGAAATATGGGACTATGTGAAAAGACCTAATCTACGTTTGATAGGTGTACCTGAATGTAACGAAGAGAATCAATCCAAGCTGGAAAATACGCTTCAGGATATTATTCAGGAAAACTTTCCCAACCTAGCAAGGCAGGACAATATTCAACTCCAGGAAATACAGAGAACACCACAAAAATATTCCTCAAGAAGGCCAACCTCAAGGCACATAATTGCCAGATTCACCAGGGTTGAAATGAAAGAGAAAATACTGAGGGCAGCCAGAGAGAAAGGTCAGGTTACCCATAAAGGGAAGCCCATCAGACTCACAGCAGATCTCTCAGTAGAAACCCTACAAGACAGAAGAGAGTGGGGGCCAATATTCAACATCCTTAAAGAAAAGAACTTTCAACCCAGAATTTTACATCCAGCCAAACTAAGCTTCATAAGCGAAGGAAAAATAAAATCTTTTGTGAACAAGCAAGCACTCAGAGATTTCATCACCACCAGGCCTGCTTTACAAGAGCTTCTGAAAGAACCACTACAAATAGAAAGGAACAACTAGTATCAGCCTTTCTAAAAAATACCAAAAAATAAAGAACATCAACATATTTAAGAAATTGCATCAACTAATGGGCAAAACAGCCAGCTAACATTAAATGACAGTATCAAACACACATATATTGTTATTAATTTTAAATTTAAATCGACTAAATCCCCCAATCCAAAGACACAGACAGGCAAAAAAGCCAAGACCCATTGGTATGCTACATCCAGATCCATCTCACATGCAAGGATACATAAAGACTCAAAACAAAGGGATGGTGAAAAATTTACCAACCAAATGGAGAGCTAAAATAAATAAATAGAAAGCAGGAGTTGCAATTTTTGCTGATAAAATAGATTTCAAAGCAACAAAGATCAAAAGAAGCAAAGAAAGATATTACATAAAGATAAAAGGATCAATGTAACAAGAAGAGCTAAAGATCCTAAACATATATGCACCCAATACAGAAATACCCAGATATATAAGACTTACAAAGAGACTTGGACCCCCACACAATAATAGCGGGAGACTTCAACATCAATATTAGATAGATCAATGAGACAGAATGTTAACATCGATATCCAGGACTTGAACTCAGATCTGGAACAAGTAGACTTAATTAACATTCATAGAACTCTCCACTTTAAATACACAAAATATACACTCTTATCAGTACTACATCACACGTATTTACAGGTTTAAATGAAATATTGGTTGGCTGCTTGTTAATTATTGTATTCCCTCATTTTTTTTTATGTCTCTATTATTAAACACAATTACAGGCATACCCAGTTTTAGACTGCATTCTAGCCCGGGCAATAAAGCAACACCCCTGTTCTCTCTCCCTCTTCCTCTTCCTCTTTCTTCCTTTCCTGTATTCTTTTTCTTTTTTTTTTTTTTATTTTTTTTTTTTCTTTCTCTAAAAAAAAAAAAAAAAAAATGCTATAGTCCAGCTGACTCCAATTTGCCTAATAT